AGTTAGTGTTAGGACTGGTCGGAGTGTTAGAACTGTTCGGCTTGGTGTCAGGATAATGTGACTGGGTGGAACATCATGGTACATGTCTGGGGCATGATGCCCCAGTGCTAGACATCACTATAAACTGTCACACTGATGACATCGTAGTGATGTGACTGAAAAATTGTTAAAAGCTACATAAACATTTACTACTCCTCCTGAACAGAAAGTCATATTGACATTTTACCAGAATGTAATGTCTGGTTGGTCCTAAGTGAAAATTGTACTACTTGGACATTCAATAAGATCACCACAGAAATTGAAATCACACAAAATTGAAAATTTTGTTATTGCTAGTCATGGTTACATAAACCATCTTGAAATTACTTTCAATTTTAGGATGCAGTTTTCAGTGGAAGACTTCCCATGATATCTACTGGTATTCAGTCCAAATGAAAATGGTACTAATCTGACCTGCAGTATGGCCAACAAAATAGACTCCTTGAAAATCTTGTTATTGCTGCTCCTATCATACTGACTTTGGAATTTCACCAAAAGACTTCATGTGATGTCTTTTTTTTATCATTCATAAAATTGGTGCATTCATCAAATATGGCTGATATGGCTGCTGTTGAAAATCTTGTTATCTCTACTCTTCATAACTGGAAAGTCATTTCAATTTGGATTTTCAGCTTGGACCTAAATAAAATGGTATCAGTCTGACATCAAGTATGACAACTGTGGCATCCATCTTTAAAATTTTGTTACTGCTGTAGCCCTAGAAGAAAAGTCTTTTCAGCAGCATGTGGTTTTCATTAGAAGACCACTTAATGTTGTTTTGTTGGACCTAATTGAAAGTGATGCTAATTTGGTGGCCATCTTAAAAATCATATCACAACTAACCTTGAAAGGATTGTTGTATTCACATATGGTTTCACCAAAAGACTAGTACAGGTCAAGAAAATGGCGAGGATCTTACATCCAATATGGCCACCATAGAGTCTGATTTGAAAATCTTTGAAATGCTAACAAATATCAGAGATGGTTGCAACACTAAGTAATTAAGAAATGAAATGGTCTTATTGAATTCCTGGAAGTTCCTTTAGGTCAGTAGAGTGTCAGCCATTTAAATTACTCTTGATTTTGGGGTTTTCTTTTGTGGTATTTTGCCTTTTACAAAAACTTGAACAGTGGCTTTAACAAACAACTTTAACTATGAAATAATGCTGCTGCTGACACCCACATCATACTGTCTCAGTTTTCTCTGAAAAGGCTCAAAATTGAGCACCCATTGGTGGATATCCACAAGACATCAAAACACACTAACAGAATACATACATGTTCAATATTAATGTCAGAGATCAGTCCTAATGGTTCTAGGATCTGCAGTTTCTTACCCTGAACAATTTTTTTTCACAATTTGGTCAAAAGTTTTCTATGTACTGTACTGTACCCTAATTTTTGTGGGAGCTGTGACCCATCACATCACTTTCAAAATCATTCAGAGACCTTTATTTATTTTAGCCCTGGATTATTTTTTAAAATGGCAGGCAAATGAAGTTTTTCTTTTTGTTGCACTAAATAGGTAAATGAACAAAAACTATTTTCTTAATTGTTTTCATGTATGCTTTTGGTAGATAGCTAGATTTACTTCTATTATATTTTTTTTTGTAGCTGTAGTTGCCGGAAAGGACAATAATTTTCTGTACCATTCAAATGATAGTACATCAAAATTTTAATTTGCACTGAGTTGTATTAAAATCTAGACCGAATAAATATGATCCTGTCTTTGGTATTTTTTCAGCTTTCTATTATGAACACTTTAATAACATTTTGTACTAACAAGTTATTTTATAACTACTGAATATTAAAATTACTGAATATTAATAAGTTCTTGGAAATGTTCTCTGGAAGATTTCTTTGTTATCCTTCCTTATACAGATATTTAACTCAAATTACATTAATCCTATTAATTACATCTGTATTAGTTACATCTATATTGTCAGGGTCCATCCAATGGAGAAAACAAATTTGTAGCACTAAAGGAATCATAGGTCATTAGCTGGCCAGGTGTAGGTCATCTGTAGCCATGTGGTTACCATGCTCAATTTAAAGCAAAATGTATGGGTTAGATTCTAGGCTATGGCACTGGGTTTTCTGGTTTTATGTAGATTTCATTAGCATTATATTACAACATTGTATCTTTTGGTGAATTTCATTAACCTTTGATGCATTTAGTTAAGATTGATAGTACAGTGTAGCTGTTAGGTCATGGAAGATATGGGGTAGATATTTTTTTTCAGTAAATTTTTGCTTATCAAGCCATTAAAAATTCAGACTCCTTGTTCCCATTGAAAAGTGGAATCCATTTACAATGAAGTTCTACAGACCACAGAAATGTTTTAATAAGGATTGTTTTTAATTGTGGGATAAAAAGATATGTATGTGTATGTATATCATATTTAACCACAAACTTCTGTCATCAGTGCAAATCTACCTGACCAAAAGAGTAAATGCAAACAGTAATCATTGACCAGACAGAAGGTGTCACATGCATTTTTTAATACATATGATATAAACTTTTGTTTTCATTCACTTTTAGTGTAAAACTTATTTTATTTCATAAATTTTTAGTTGAAGATTGCAAGATGTATAATATAGAAGGTAAAGGGTTAGAATGAAATCGTGTGGTTTATAATCATTTTTCATTACAGAATAAACATTTTTAATGCACCATATGTAACTGTTTATTATTCAGGTTTATTTGCACATTGTAAAGACCTACTAGATCTGCTGTTATATAATGCAGCAGCTAATCTTGGTCTATGCAGTTTGGAGTGATAATTGGAACAAACAACATAGACACTAATCTGCTGGCACTTATGTGCCAGAAGATCTAGGTCTTTGTAGTTTACAGTAGGATTCAACTTACAAACAAGTATATGATTACAGAAATAACTGTGTAAGACTTTCTTTGTTCTTTTTTTTTCAATTATATTTTGCATGCATTTTAACGCAGATGCTTTCTGATCTTCATGACCTAGATTGTGAACACATGTTTAAGTTTGTAGTATAATAATTTAAGTTAATAATATAGCATACCATTCTTGATCATTTTTTATTGGTTACATAACAACTGATGAAGTTAGGATATCACTACTTTCAGTAATAAAAGTACTTATTTCATCGGACCTTTTAGGAAGTGTTTTGGTAATGATATAATATTGAATTTATGAAACAAGTTGAATAATATCCAGCTTTTGTGAGCCTTGAGAATTTTTTTTTTATTTTCATGGAAATAGGCAGAAAGAAGAGGAAATAATTTTATTCATGCCCACTCAGCCATTGCTCCTTTCATTTGGTGCGAATAAAAATAGTCCCAAAGTCATTTTGTGCAGTTATATAACCAATCGTATTTAAAAGCAGATTTTCATTCACAAATTAGAATTCAAAAAGCAACTGTCCATAGTAAATGGAACATTTGACTCGGAAAACTATTTTTCAACACAGAATTTGCATCAAAGATGCCTATGATGTCACTAGTAAAGTTTCTTTTGATTGGATGATCAGTGTAACAATGTTGACACCTGAGGTATGTCAGTTTCACTACTGGATGTTGTTGGATATTCATCTATTGGATGCAGAAATTCTATATTTACTGCAATGTCTTTTTCACCAGATATTTATATTATTTGTTTTGGAACAGAAGACAGCCAGAACATGAAAAACATTATATTGTTTGAGCTATTTTACCATGTTAAAATAATGTGGTTTTATGGGCCAAACAATCTGTCTGTTGGGAGACTGGCTTATATCCACATTCTTCTATTAACAGAGGTGAGTTTATATACTTGTAGAAATTAACATTTAAATCACTCAATTGACCAATACCTTAGTTTTATATATTGTTTTTGTTCATGTTTGGGGTTTGATACCATTTGTCAGCACGTGTTTGGCCATACATGGTGCAATGAGCCCCAGTAGGGTAATTTTGCCATGTTCAGAAAGATCTGATCTTTCTTCCCAATTTTTTGGGGGCATTTGATTGAAAACAAAATGGCCATAGAAATGATTAGAGTAAAAACAAAAAGTTCCCTGAAACAGGGTAAATAAAAGTTTCTAACAATTGCAGCCAATCAGTAAAGAGAATACTGTGCAATAATTTTATGGGCATATTTGGACCAATCATAATTACATAAAGTGATATATTAATGTGTTGTTAAAATATCAAAAATATTAAACAGCACACACACTATGGGTAAAGTATGCACACTTATGTCCAATTTCAAACTAGTTTTCCTGTGTTCATTTGCACTCAGGCCCCAGTTCTATGATGTTTGGCCATAAAACTTTTAAAAAATACCAAATGGCAGAAAAAACTTTAAACTGGCTGTCTCAATATCACCCTACTATAATTAATGTAAATCTTGGTACACTTATTTATTTCCCAAAATGATTTATTTCATGTTCTTTAAATATTGGGGCAGAAAATCACCTGAAAACATTTTTTTCTCCAAATTTCAGATTTTCTTATTCTGTTGATCATAACATTATAGTTCCAGACTTTACAATTTTCAAAAGACTACTTCCATTACCAAATAGATGTGATTGTTACAAATTCATTTGATCTAAATTCATTTGAAAGGTCATTAACAATATTTAATTTTAATCTGTTTTCTTTCTATGTCTTTTTTTCAAATATATATATAATTTTCCTGGACACTTACAAGCATGAATCCCTACCAGAATGCTGTGCCCATATCAATAATAACTTCTCCCCTTTTTGAACTGATTCAGTATTGTAGATTTGAACATTATTACATTAAAACTGCTGCCTGTCACCTTTAATTTTGTTTTCTGCCTTGAAACTTTAAATACTCATTATTTACCACTCTGGTGGCCTAGTGGTTAGAGCATATGTCTCAGATGCAAGGTTGTGGGTTCGAACCCCGACCGAGTCATACCAAAGACTTATGAAATTGGTACTAACTGCCTTGAAACTTTAAATACTCATTATTTACCACTCTGGTGGCCTAGTGGTTAGAGCATATGCCCCAGATGCATGAGGTTGTGGGTTCAAACCCCGCCTGAGTCATACCAAAGACTTATGAAATTGGTACTAACAGCTGCATTGCTAGGCGCTCAGCATTAAAAAGTTAGTGTTAGGACTGGTTGACCTGGTGTCAGGATAATGTGACTGGGTGGGACATCATGCTACATGTCTATGGCATGATGCCCCAGTGCTAGACATCACTATAAACTGTCACACTGCAGACATTTTAGTGATATGACTGCAAAATTGTTAAAGCTACCTTAAAAATCCAAAAGACATACACAAATACACACACATGCACACACACACACACACAAATACCTATTAAAAAAGGAGTGCCATTATTACAGAAGTGAAAAAAGTACTGCTGATTAAACTACCTTGTTTATGTCACCACACTATAACTCATATTGCTAAATGAAGTAAGTTTTCACCAAAGTATACACCTCCTGGTGTTTAATCAAAGATACCACTGCATTGAAGTTAATTAATACCTGTGTGTGTGCCCACATGTGTGTGTGCATGTGTGTGTGTTTTTTAAAAAAAACTAAAGTTGAATAACCAATGCTTTAAAATGTTTTAAATAGGAGCTCATTGGCAGTTTTAATGTAAGAAGCCTTGCTAATTGGCACATAATACTGAGCTACAGTAATTGTGCTAATTTCTAGTCAACTGATTAAGTGTGAATACCAGCTTATTTTACTGGAGTCTGGGATGGGTGGATCTGATATTGATTTTTGGTTTGCTAATTAGAGTACAGCAATGATGAACTGTATATTGTCCCTTTAAATGCCCTTCAGATTTTAAAGCCATTACTGGTTTTGGTTAGTGTTTTAGAATAATTTGGGTATTACCACCTGACAAAATCCCCATCTTATTCAAGGGTTTTTAGTGTTCAATGTTTTTAATTAGTCAGGATTGCTGTCATAAAACATCAGCCATATTGCTACCAGGCAAGTCCAACAATTATGATAAAAAATGGATGTCTGGAAACAACCAGCTTGCCATATTAACACTGAATTATTTGTATGTTGCAATTAGGATGATTTGTGTAAAATAAACACAAAACAACACTAGAATGAAACAATAATGACCTGGTCTGATTTTTATCCAGAATTTTAGCATATTGCATTATTTCGTGAATATACAACCGTTATATGAATATGTTAAACTTGTGTGTTTAATATATTGATAATATTTTAGCATTCATCTTTTCAGTACAGATTTTCAAAGAACTTTGTAAGATCACTTAAAGGAATTATGTTTATTTTTTAAGTCATCTCTTGATCATGTAGAACAAGTTGATAAAAAAAGAGAAATTAAATACTGCTAATATGCAATGTAGATGAAAGAGGAACAAAATAATCCTGAAAAAGCTAAAATCCATTTGTAAAGTGTTTTAAGAATAAAGAGTGCTGTATGAGACAAATCATGAGATCCATTGTATAAGGACTTGAAGACTGAGTTACCATGTGATATGAGAACTTGCACACTTTAATTACCTTTATTTACTTTTCATATTGGTGAAATCAGAAAATATTCACTTAAAATAACATCAGTGGTGTACAACAGTTTATTGTTTTCCTTATACATATCAGTCACCAGAAATGAAAAATAATTATTATATTTACTTGTCTCAAGACTCCCATCCATTAATGGTATATGCTGAATATATGTTGGCACAAGTCAATATTTTTGAATTGGCATTGATTCCAAGATGCATTGATCCAGTATGTACTACTGACACTGGGATGAATTCTGGGTTCTAATTGGATCATTTCCTTCTTGACCTCTAGAGCACCATGTTGGGCATGAAAAAAAAAGAAAGATATTAATCCAGATATCTTACAGATTTAAAACGAATTTGACTTTACACAAATGGACAAAAGAAAGTAAAATATGTCTTTATTTATTGACATTTAAAAAAAATGGATATTTTACTGAGGTACAGACAAATCGGTTGTTCAGTAGTTTTATGAATCTGTGATCTGATTTCTTCAAAACTGCATTTAGTAAGCTAACTCATTTGGTTCACTCAAATTACTGAGACTTAATCCTAAAAAATATCCTTATAAAATGAAAAATGGTTTAGGTTCAAGCTCAATATTGCATTCATTTTATCTACTTTTTAGTTTATTTTGAAACTAATTATGTAATTATGTTAATTTATTCCTCTAGTTTTTTCAGCCAATCAGAAACATTCATTTTTGTAAATATGGTACTTACTTTACCACCAAGCATCATGAGGCTGGTTCCATAGCTCATAAAATAATTACTTACCTTTAACCATAAGACCTTACCCATCAGACTTTAAATATGAGCCATAAAATTTTACATTCAGGCAACATAAAATGTGAAATGAACAGTAATAGTTGTTTAAAAAAATTTCAGTGTAGCTCTGATATGGCTAATTTCTGTCATATATATATATATATATATATATATATATATATATATATATATATATATATATATATATATATATATATATATATATATATATATATGCTAATTTGTATAGAACAAGAGCCTGAGATGGAGCATAATTTTGTGTGTGGATATTGAAATTGGTAGCCCAAGCAATAGACATTCATTAAAATCCATTGGGTGGGTGACAAAATTGTTGCATATCAAACAGTAGACAATTAGTTGTATGTATCACCATAATCTCTCTTGCTGACACAGGGAACAGTATATAAAATCATTATTGATATTAAATATGTTGTCTTAATGCTGTACAGCCTGCCCTTGAAGAAAAAATGGTAGGTGTCATCAACTGCTTGTCTGATAGAGCTAATAGAATGATGAGGAAGATTAGCATGAAATTGGTTCTATTTGGGAATGGGACATCTATGCCATATACAGGCTAAGAAAACAAACTTGATTATTGCCATTTGGGGAATAGGAAGGTGCAATGTTTGAAATGCACTTTTTAAAATTTTTGAGAGTCAAAACTTGATCAGATGGAAGGTTCTTCCAGGTGTTTATCATGCAGGGTAAATTTCAATTTAGATAAAGATATATTCTTTTTAGAGAGATGTCAGCCTGTTTTGAAAAGGCCCATAAACCATATATGTGATGAATTTTGCTAACTTGAATAATATTTTATTGGAATTGCAAGTAATTAGTTCTTATTGAACGAAATTGCAGTGGATAAATATGATTAAAAAATTTATTCGGTTTCATTAATTTTATTCGAGGCAGGTGGGGCTAATTTTAAAAAAAAAGAATTCTCTATATTGTGTACAAGTAAATGTATTTTTCATAAAATGACTTGAGATCAGTTGAGTAAAATATATTATTTTATACTGAAAGTTTGAATATTTGTTATTGTTAACACTGTAAAGTATCTTAGTCCCCATGAACAGTATTAAAGTAAACTTGAATCAGATTTTTGTGTGACTGTAATCTGAGTCCATCCTGCATTAAACTGGATCTGTCAGCTTGAATCACAGGTTTTAGAAAGTTGGCTTGTTTTATGTTCACTAATTAAACTCATTTCAGGTATTTGCTGCAATATCTATTTCAGGTACTTATATATTCACTCTAAAATCTATTCAAGCTACCTTTAGGAAAGGCTATTAGATTCAGGTGTTTGACTGACACAAGTCTAATTTTGCAAGTACTTAAAACAAACAGGGATAAATTCACTGCTTTGCTAGGTATGCCTTAGTTACCATATTGTTAATTGGTTGTTGTGTATATAACCTATTTGTACTTTGTCTGGAGCTAATCCCCTTCCTATCGGCACTACAGGTGACAGCAAAGATTATGATTCACTTGCAAAGGGGACTGATTAACTATTTTTTGACTGCAGGACTATACTAATGAAAAAATTATATGATCATAAGTGTAAGCAAAATCAAAGCAGATTTGATAAGGAATTTATCAGAATCTTTAATCAATAAATATTGTATGTGTGTATGTGTGTGTATATATATATATATATATATATATATATATATATATAGATGCATGTGTGTATGTGTATAGCTAGGCTAGTTAGTTACTAGTTTTGCACTGTTTGTCCCCAGTTTATTGCATCTTTTTTAATCAATCCCAGACACAGTGATCCTTTGCTGGATCCAGTGTGCTTGAAAGGGTTGTTATTGCCATATGATTTGTATTATATATATATATATATATATATATATATATATATATATATATATATATATATATATAGCAGGTGCAAAGTAATAAGGGCTTCTCACTTTTAGTCTTTAAATTGACCCACACCTGCCTTATAACAGGAAAGATATAACAATGCACCTTATAATGAAAAAAATTTGTGTCCATTTTTATGCACAATCATGCTGTAAAGTCTATGTTAGATATAAATTATGGCAAGAAATTAAGGTCTTTCTAAATTTTCTCTAATTTTCCAAACTTACACAGCCAACAAATTGAAGAAAACCATTAAACCTTCTGAAGTCTTGGACTGTATATGTGCAACAAATATGGCATTTAGTAAGAATTTAACCTTGCTTAGAAGAGTTGTCAAATTTGAAATTTACCTTCATAGATATAATTAGCAATAATTGTTGAAATTATTAGGCTTTCATGCAGTCCAAAACACACTTTTAAACATATATTTACATACCTGTAAATATTGTCTCATAAGCTTAATTTTTGCCCTAGCTGATATAATTGAGAACCAGTCTTAATTGGCTTGTGATCATGTGACACTGGTACTGTTTGGGAGATTTTGATTAGAGTTTTATCTTACCCAGGCATTAATCCACCACTGTCTCTAATCACCAGTCTTGGAAAGAAAGGAATGTGACCTGGGCATAATCAAATAGGACTCAATAAGAAGATGGCTTTATCTCAAACCTCCATAAAGGTGTTGATACATATTTCTGCCCAAAGCTATGGCCTACCCACAGTTTTAAAGTTAAATTTTGAGATACAGTAGCCCTTTATACAGTAAGATAAAGTTAACAACTTCCTGTTCATAATCATGAATGGCATATACATTGGCAAGAAAAAAAAAATTATGAAATAGTTTTGAGGGGATATTACTTTTTCATTCTTCTGGC